CCTCCAGTGGTCTGCCCCTCTGCCCACTTTGACTGCTCCCTCCCTTTCAGGAGGGCACTTTAGTTCTTTCCATTCATTAGCACAATTCACTCTGAGGCTGGGAAGTGGGTTTCTCTCTCTCTCTGGGATTTTGTGTACGTCTACCCCAATCTTACAGAAGGATGGCCCTTTCTATTCTAGCTGTTGGGGGGAATAGGGCAGAGTGGAGACCCTGAGAGTTAAGCACCGATGATGATAATGACCAGTAACACTATTTTAAAGGTGAAGTCCAAGGTCTTGTGTTCCACTGGTCCCCTGGGCTCCTCATTGCCCCAAGAAGTTAAAGCACACACTGCCTTATAGTTTCATCTTTTTTTTTTAAGTAATCTCTACACCCAACGCGGGGCTCGGATGCCTGACCCCAGGATCAAGAGTTGCACACTCCACCGACTGAGCAAGCCGGGGCCCCCCAGGGTCATCATTTTGAACAGAGAATGAGTGGGAAAGAAACATAGCGGGTCCTTCCTGTACTGAGTCCAGGGAGGACTGACACAAGGGGTTCAGGTAGTTGGGGAGCAGGGCCTCACAGGAGGGATCAGGTTCTACAGAAGGAAAACTGAGTCAGTGAGGACTTTGTCCCCCAGGAAGCATTATGCAAATGACGAGTTCCTTCTAAATTGATGGGGAGAGGAGATTGGAGGCTGGGATGGGACCCTGAGGATTAATGCCCTGGGGTTGGGGAGGAAGGGGAGCTGAGGCTGCAGATGTGCCTTTGTACTCAGGTCTGGGCTTCCTTTTCTGTGGTCAGACGGCTCCCTCTCCTCCCCTTGGGTCCCCCCCTCCGGCCCGCAGCTTTCAGCTCTCACTGAGGTATAGACGCGGACCCAGTGTCACCATACCAGTCTTGCTACAGCCTAATGAGCATCCCCTGAACCATAAATGCCATCAAAGGAGACGACTGGTCACTGACCAAGAGGTTGTGTCCCCAAGGTGACCCATTGTAGAGTTCCACTGTGGTCCACTGACAAAGATTAAAACCTCTGCTCTGCCAGGAACTGAAATAGGGCTCCATCTGCTCCATGGGCGTGAGGTAGCCCCTCCTTCCCCAGCCCTGCCGGGGAGCTGTGCAGCAGCCAGAGACCAGGAAGGCACTCCTGGGTCACAGAAGGATAGCCCTTTCCTTTCTTAGTGGGGGTGGGCAGGCCAAGAAGCAGGAGTAGCAAGGTAGTTTGGCACCTGGCTAGATGCCCTGTGGATCAGACAACTGGGTTCAGTTTGCCGCTTCTCAGCGGTGGGTCATTTGGTAGGTCATTCTCACCTGCTTGAGGCCCAGATCCCTCATCTGTAAAATGGGATAACAGCACCTGCCTCACAGAGCCCCTAGCCGACTTTGAGGAGGCATTGAGTGCCGTTGGGAAAGTCAGCTGGCCACAGTGACCTGACTCATAGCAGGCTCACGGGGAGTGGATGCAGGCCCGTCTCGCCAGAGGCCTATTCAATTTGGTAGCCATCTCCAAGAAAAAATGTAAAATAATGTAAAATTGCAAACATAAAACCAGGTTTATGAATGAACATTTATTTCACATGATGAAAGAAAATAACATATATGTATTTAAAAGCAGACATCCCAAACACCACAAAATCCAGAAAATAACACAAATATTATTATTAATTAGCTATTTCACATATGTCTGCGTTACTTTCTTTTCCTACATTTTTTTGGGCTGTGTGCTCTTTGACCACTTCTTCCTATGACAGTGATTTTAGAATGCCATTTTCCCTCAAGAGAACAGCAAGATAATTCATTCATTCCTCTAGCATGGTTGGTTGGGGCTTGTTTTCCATTCTTGATGGCTTAGGAGAAAAAGCTTGTTTGCTACACAAGCAGTTATTGGTAATGTCATGTAAATCTTTCGGATTATTGTCAGATGTCGGGGAACCTTTCTCAGGGTTTTTTTCATATATGAGCCATAGGGCTTCAGGACATTTAAGTGTTTCTGTGTGATGACTAAGCTTAAATACTGAAGGTGCTCATTCCACACGTGGCTGGGGTCCTTCCCAGGCCCACGGAAGGGGCCACGTGAGTGAGGGGTGTGGATGTTTTAAGCCCCAGGATCTGGTAGCAAATTCTCCTTCTCTATGAATGTTAACTGGATCCTGTCTGATTATTATGTCTATTGATACTCATCTTTTTAATTTTATAGTTTTAAGATTACTAAAGAATGTGTTCTCATTGACGATAAATTTAATCTTACAAGAGTTACGTGTGCCTGATGGTCACTCCTTCCGTATCATTAACAAATGTTAATTGTCTACTCTGATCAGTCTACCTCACGTGGATCGCTGGGGAGCATTCAGTGACATAAAGCAGATAAGACACAGTACGGTGTCTTCATCTAGTAACTACTCAGTAGACTTAGCTGTCGAGACCTGCATCACCCCTCCATTGGCACCTGATTTGGAGCTGGGCACTTGGAAATATAAAGTTGGGACATTGTCTCTCCGGGAGGTAGGGATGAGCCCAGCTTTAGGTCCAACTCTGAGACTGCAGTGGGAGTTAGGTTTTGTCTCAAGTTATAAATAGAACAGTCCTCAGGGTGCCTGTGTCGCTCAGTTGGTTAATTGACTCATAATTTCAGCTCAGGTCATGATCTTGGGGTCCTGGGATCAAGCCCCATGTCGGGCTCTGCACGGGACATGGAGCCTGCTTGAGATTCTTTCTCTCTCCGTCTTTGCCCACCCACCTTCCAGGGCTTGTTCTCGCTCAAAAATACATACATACATACATACATACATACATACATACTATATTTAAAAAAAGAATGGTCTTCCCTCATTAACCATGAATTCTCTACAGTTAATCTCCATTCATGGATTCTTCAGTCATCAGTAATATTTTATTAATATAGCCACAGTTACACATGAAGCCATATGTTTAAAGAGCACAATGACGGTCTTTAGTTTCCTGTATTTCCTCCAAATCTTTTGATTCTTACCAGGTTCAGCCCCTGAATTTGTCAAAATATGGTTTTCTATTCTGCTATGTTAAAGACTCTCCTGTGGCAGAAATATCTGTGTATGGGGAGTCAAGAAATTGGCATTGCCACTGACTCTGCACGGTTATCTGTTGGGAAGCTTTTAGTTGCAAATGACAGAAGAGCCATTTCGAGTGTCTGCATGACAGAGGTTGTGTAGTGGCCTGTGCAGTGGCCCCTAGCTGGACCTGCCCATTCTTTCTTTAATGCCCATCCTTCGCTGTGGAAGCCTACCACGGGGTCAGTCCCACTCACACCACAGGGCTGGAATTTTGGGGTGCCGTTAAACAGTGGCAAGGAAGCTACCCATGTGCCCTAAATCCCTTTGCTTCTTCGGGCTTCATTTGCCTCATTTAATTAGGGGCTCATACGACACCATTAGTAAAGTCCTTCCCAAGAGTAACCTTTAAGATTTTATTTTCTGTTTACATTAATTGGTTTTGGTAATGAATAAACAAATCTTTTCTGGCCAGTGCTGTCAGGCCCAGAATGTAATTAGTAAATAAATAGCTGTGTGTAGATTAAATGATAAGTCAGGGCAGTCAGCCTTAAGTGACTTACTTCCTACTCATGAGTTGCAGATTTTGATCTAGAAAAATGAGCCATGGAGGATGTGAGGGAGGAGCCCTGGAACATGGCTGATGAAACCTGCTCTGACTTAGGAAGCCTCTGACTTAGGAAGCGTATCTGCGTACCAAATGCAAGTTGATGGTTCATTCGCAGGAGATCCGGGAAGGTCTGGGCAGGGCTTAGCATAAGCATTGGAGGCTTTGCTATGATGCTGGCATCACAAGGAAGCTGAGAGGTTGAATTCGGATCCAGAGGGAGCTGCTATTGGCAGAAGCCAGAGGGACTTTAAATGGCAGTGGAATCAGATCCTTGTGGATAGCTGAAACCACAGACCTCAACTTTCTCTTTCATCCACTTCTTCCAAAGCCTTTGGCTATAGCCTTGAGACGGGAGTCCAGTTGTGGCACCAGCTGAGCTTTCAAGGAAGCATATGGAGGTGGTTCATGACAGAATGAACCCCTCTGCCTTGGTACCCAAACGTGAAGATGCTGCAGGTGCTGGAGACGGGAGTGAGCTGCGGGAGCCCGTTTCCTCCACTTTGCCAGTGCCCAGGACTGTGTGAAGATTCCAAGCACCTGTAGGGCACAGGGGTGCCTCCGAAGGGTGTCTCACCTTGCTGTCCAGGATCTGTGGGAAAAGGTTAATGTGATTGGTAGTACAGTCAGTAGATTTTCATGGCGACTTGCTGATTTTGGAATGTATTTATAGAGTTGGCAAAGGTTGGTCTGTGCCTCGATATACTTCTCTGTACTTTAGCTTTTGGAAGATAGTTTTGGTGTGGTGGTCAGTCGTGTTTCTAAACTGGCAGGCAATAACTAGCTAACTCAGTGTGCAAAGGGCAAAAGACACAGTTCAAAAATGGTTTCTGGTGAAATGGAGGCGTTAGCTGGAAGTGAAACTACCAGAGCTCCATCCCAGGGGTTGTAGCAATTGGAGAAAGTTTCATTTGTTGGCCTGGGGGAGGGTAGATTGTTCTTTGAGTTGTGTAACGGGCCCCTTCGTAGCAGCTTGTTCCTTCTGAGGGTCCACCCAAATGGGAGGTGGGGACAGACTTGGAGTTTCAGTCCTGGCCCCTGGAGCTGTCACTGTTGTGGGTTATTTGTTGTTGTTGTTGTTTTCATAATCGTTGTGCTTTCCGATTCAGATAGGAGCGCAGTGCTGGTGTACGACGATTGCCCTGGGTATTTTGGAATTCGTAGATATGCTTGTCTGTTCCATGAATGGTGTCCATGTTCTCTGCAAGCGTCAGGAGCTGCACCTGGGCGTGGAGAGGAGGGGGCGTCATGGTTAGTGGCCCATTATGCAAAATGCTATGCAAAACCCAGATCAAACAATCCCCAAAAAGTCTCTGACGGAGAAGCCCAGGAGGTAGATTGCAAACAGCAAGGTACATTTCTGTGATCTTGGAAATTAGGCATGGAGAGGATGAAGAGGTTAGAGAACGCAGCGGTGCGGGGAGTGTGCTCTATGGGCCCCAAAGGCGTGGGGACTCGCCTTTCCAGCTCACCTCAACAAGCACCGCTGGCAAATGCCTTAATTTCTTTCAGCTCAGTGTCCTCATCTGTAAGAGGATGACCGCGCCTCCGTCCCTCGTAACGGTGAGTGGAAGGAAGAAATAAATAATGCTGGCAAAGCTCCAAGCGAGTAGGACGCACGGGGGAGCTTTGGGCACTATGTATGTTTTATCATTCTTAGGGTTGCCGTAATTGGTAGTTGGTGTTCATTGTTTTGGCTGTCGCTGGGCAGGTGCCTTGAACATCCGCAGGCAGAATTAACATTACCTTTGGTCCTCCCTCCGGGGAAGATAGAGACTACGGCCATCCCGTCCCTCCGTGTGTGTGTGTGTGTGTGTGTGTGTGTGTGTGTGTGTGTGGCAGCTGGGAACCAGCCACGTTTCCCACCCATGAAGGAGAGGCAAGCTCCGTCTGGCAGACATGTTACCAACATGTGGCTAGATTTCCAAGCAATATTTTGTCCACACCTTTGCACAGAGAGCTGACAGGAATTGAGTTCATGGAGGGATATAGAACAGCCGAGCCTCCCCTAGGATGCCATTTTAGGTTTTTCCATTTCTTTGGTTGGAATTGGAGTTTTGCACGTGTTTGATTAAAACAACAACAACAAAACAACCCCAGAGCAACACTGCAGGAACTCTTGCACCGAGGACCTGGCTTCTGAGTAGATACAGAAACGTGGATTAAAAAATCATGCCAAACATGTGAAGACCAACCAGATTGCGTCGGTAGGTGGCAAAGTACTTTGCTATAAATATTGCAGGACTCCTCTTTTTCTACTTAAAAGAAAAATTGCTTTGCATTTCAGACGACAGAAATGGCTGGACAAGCCTTTAGTTCATGTGCAAGAAACTGTGAAAACAGTGTGAAAGATTTTCCTAAAATGGAGACGGAGCTTGGCCCAGTCTGGGGTTGAAGTTAAAGCCCTTGTCTCAATTTGCCTTCTGTGCATTATTTCTCATACGTTATGCAAGATTCCCCAAGCCCCGGACCATTCATTTTTTTTTTTTTCCCCTGTAATCTCGAGGTGTGCACAGGGTACAACTCGGCCTCAGACCTCTGTGCTTTCACTTTTGGTTAGTCAGAACCTCCATCTGGAGGGATTTGAATATGAGCGTTTTCTGTGGCTTTTCTGTGGCTCCTTTTCAAAGTATTCAAAGCAGTTTAAAAATACAGAATGTTCCGCGATCTGACCAAGAGCTAATGTAAGTACTTATTTGGGGACTATTTTTAAAAGATCTACTAGGGCAGGTCTGAAACTCTTCACTCTGCCTCTGTCTTGGAAATAGCCACTGAGATGAAAAAAAGGTTTGAAAAACAGGAGACTCCTTCTCTGCAGTCATAATGCTTTCCAGAGTGACAGGAGTAGCAAAGAGTGCGGTCTAGAAAAACAGAAGAGTTGCAATTCTTTCTTTAATATTAAACAGGAAACTGAGCAGAGGGGAGCCCTCAGCAACATGGTGGGTTTTCGGCATATCTGTCGCCGGGTTTGTCCATTACGACAAGGCTCCATGAGAACTTTGATTTTTTAAATTTTTAAATTTTTTATTATTTTTATTTATTATATTATATACATATATATATATTTTTTTGAGAACTTTGATTTTGTTAAGATGGTGAGTGTTCATGAAACTCTTCGCCAAAACGTGAACCCTGGAAGCAGGTTCTCTGTTGTAGGGTTTTGAAGCAACCAACCCTTTTCCACCAGAGCCAAAGGAAATTTGGAAGCAAATTGAAAAACCTCTCAAAGAGTGGAAAATGCTCTGCACTTGTGTTTCGCCTTTGTGCGGGGCTGTCACTCACCCAAATGTGCGTATGAATATTCTTTCCGAAGACCTGGGCTTCATTTTAAGGTCAGCCTTCAATTTCTAGAGAATATAATTTGCTGCTATTTTTAGAACATCATGATTGCTCATAATAACTAATGGAAAAAAAAAAAGACTCAACAGAGAAATAAATGTGTACCAGCTGTGTCTGCTTAAACTTGATTAAAGGCAGTAAAAAAAAGTAAACAGAAGAATGAATGTGACAATAGACACGGGAGAGATGAGTAGCCCTGTCACTGGGAAAAGTTTTGCAGACCTAACTCGTTCGACTTCAGAGGCTGGCAATGTTTAAAGTTTACTTTAGTGTTTGTCTTGAGTGGAATCCGTGTTGTAGTGAATAATTTATAGCCAGCATGAATGAGCTCATTAGTCACCTTTTCAGACTTTAAATGAGTTTTGTGGTTGTCATTACTCGAGCCTTCTGTTCAGCCGCTGAGCAGAATGACAGTTTGGCAGTTGGCTGCCTTGTCGTCGGGCAGCTTGCTCCCCTTCAGGTCTGCGTTGCTTTTGTATTTCATTGAAACCTTTCCTTTCTATCCCCAGGCTGGTCTGGGGACTCTCACATTTCAGATGCCTTTTGCACCCCCAGCTTAAATGAGAAGTTTTTCATGGATTTAAAAAAAAAAATCTTTCAGTTGCGTCTGCCACAGAGAATGAAGTAGATGGAGAGAGCTTTTTCCAGCAACTGCTGTGTATTATTCTCTTTGTGCTCGGTTTGATATTCAAGTTATTCAGGGGCAGTAAGCTGGGGAGTCCTTGTGCAGGGGCTGAGCCAGCGCTCACATGGTGGCAGGCATTTCGGGCCAGGGGACTGTGGCTGGAGTGTAGAGCATGAAGGATGGTTCCACGTCTGCCCTCCAGGGTTTACATTTTGACAGTCCTGAACGTCAATATGATGGGGATGGGTGTAGATGAAGAGACTTACTTCAGAAAATCTGCCAGGCCAGATTTCCAGGGCCAAGGAAAACCATGTTTTTCCTGCAGAGGGGTAGATAAGATGACCTTTCAGGATCACAGCCAACTGGGGGGTCCAGATCATGGGGGTTGACCGTGCCTTCTTCCTCAGCTCCGCGTCTTCCTGGTCCAAAGCATTGAGAGAAAGCAAACTGTTGCAGCTGCCTGCGTACCGTGCTTTTGGAGACTTGCCTGGGAGGCTGGTATGTGAGGAAGACGAGCCTGGGCATGCCAGTGGCAGGTGGGATTTCTTTGGAACGGATGTGATGAGGTTCATCCCTCCCTTTGAACCTGGCCTGGGCAGCCTCCGGAGAGCTCTGACGTCCACTCCCTGGGACTGGACTCCGTCCGGAAGTCCAGGACGGTATGGCATGCCCACCTTGGTCCTCGGGTAGCCTCTGCTGGCACTCAAGGGGCATGGAAGCCTGCCCGGGTGGCTCAGCCAATGGCCTGGACCTCTGTACTGCGGGCTCTTTGACGTTTGCTATGAGCAACAGGCACTAATGGCTGCCATCACCAACGTGGGCGGTAGCACCCCCTTCCGGGATCCATATTGTTAGACAGCTGGCCTAGCACGGTGTGAGGCATGTAGGAAAGATGCTCAGTATTCCTCTCTGGAAGAAACGCCAACTTAAAAAGGATGCCTGGTTGTTTGGGGGGCCAGATCTTTGAAGCCAGTGACAGTCACGTGCCTTTGGGCTTGGGGGAATTAGGTGTTACTGGTGCACCTCTAGAAAGACAGCGGTCCACGTGGCCTCCTTCTCAGCCCCCACCCCTCATGAAGCTGAGCGCTCAGCACGCACTCGTGCCTCACAATTTACGGGCACGTTTTGCTTGCCCCTGAATCAAAAATATTAAAGGCACATGAGAGGTTATTTGGGGAAGGAGTGGGGGTTTCAAAGCAGAGAGTGTCAGTGAACTGCACTGTCTGATAGAGGACTTCAGCTTTGGCAATCGTAGTAAATTGAAAAGTTGCTAATCCCCCAAAAGGAATTTTGTACAGCAGGGAAATAATATTGGCAATATCTTAATCTATGTAATGTTTCCCAGAGACACCGTTGAATTTGCAATTTTTACTTTTGTTTCAAAAAGACACTCTTCAAGAGAAGAATTGATTGTCCTCTTTCACATCCTTCTGCAAAAGTAAAACGAGAGAAGTTCCTTCTTGGCATGGTTCACACTTTGGCAGACTTAGCAACTGAAACCCACGAGACCGTGGTACTTGGTGTACTCGGTGAACAGAGGAAAACAATAAGAGCTCTTCAGAACTTTGGAGGAGGAGAAGGTTGATGATGCTACTTTTCTTTGACTAATCTGTGTAGTTATTAGATACCAGCTTGAGAGAGCAATAAAAAGAAGCATTTTTTTTTCACTTAAGCGATCGATATTTTTGATTACCGCTGAGCCACATGCTATGAGCAGAAGAGAAGTAGAAGGCAGGGTCCTTGCCTCTCAAGGCACTTACAATTTGTTTGATGCTCAGTATCTAGTTGATTTATTTTTTATTACAAAGGTACACCATGCCATATTGATTATGACATAGAAGCTGAACTTTGGCTCTTTGTAAGTGGTGCCTTTTCATTCAGGTTAAAAGTCCCTTTTTTCTTCCTTCTCCCTTATTTGCTGCTCATGGTTTTTCCTCTCTTGAACTCCACCACTCCTGTCCTTCGTGTCCTTGACCTCCAGGGGTTCTCCAAGAAGAATTCAGATACTCTGGGTTGATCTGAAGCTCCTCTTGGTTCCTACCTGGAACACGGCTCCAAACTCTGGAGCCAAGGCGTAGGGGTTCAAATCCCAGCCCCATCACTTATGAGCTGTGTGTCCTTAGGCAGGTGGCTAAACCTCTCTGTGCCTCAGGTTCCTCATATATAATGGGGCATAATAATAGTACCCTCCTCCCATGGTCACTGTGAGGCCGAAATGAGTGAATATTTGCCAAGCCTAAGGATGTGGTCTGGCACCGAGTAAGTACAGTGTAAGTGTTAAATCCGGTCAGCCATTATTCTTGTATTCCATAGTTGCAGATTCATGTACTTACTAAAAATTATTTGTAACCCCCCAATTAATAAATACTCGTGGAGCTTTTAGGGCCATTTGTCGACATGTGCAGAGTGGCCAAAAATTTGAATTGCCTAATGCACCCATTCCCAGCTTACATCTAACAGAGCGACGTTCTGGTACAAACAAGTTTCAGTTCTCATACCATAAACAAGTGTCCGTCCTGTGGTCTGTTCTGTACTCTGCTTTTTGTGCTTTTTTGTTGGTGATTTTCCTGTTTAAAATGGCACCCATGGGGCACCTGGG